GCAGTCGCTATGGACACTACGACAAGTGCTGCCGCCAACCCAAGCCCAAAAGCCCGAGACGAGGAGGAAAGCAGCGCACTTCCCTCGGGGTGGTTCGCACGCAGCCCCCTTCAGATGGCCCACGCAGCCCCAAGCAGCAGCTGAGTCACATCAGGAGGGTGGACTCGACCACACGCCCCAGGGCTACCCCTTCCCCTACCATCCGCGTCGCCGTCACACACGGTGATGTGTCGGGTCACATCGAGGTGATACCGGACACCGGCGCTGATACTACGATGATAGGCCTGAAGCACCTCCAGAAACTGGGCCTCACCAAACGCAACCTGGGACCACCGCCGCAGCTGCAGTACTACAATGCGGACGGTTCCCAGATGCCGGACGCTGTGGGCTCCTTTCAAGCGGAGATCACTTACGGCGACAGGTCGTGTCACGGATGGATCGACGTGCAGCCTACTCTCGCTACACCCTTGTTGTCGTGGGAGCACTGCAAGGAGTTAGGCGTGGTGCCCAGAGACTTTCCTGAGCAGATCCCAGCTGCTCGGTACACCGCCAGCAGGGTGCGTGAATCAACGAGCGACGCGCCTGGCGCTGCTGCACAGAGCTGCCCAGAACCCGCGTCCACTCCCACCCACACAGGACGCTCCCCTGCCCAGATCCTGTATGGTCACCCTCTCCGCTCTTGCGTTCCTGCACACGCCAAGGCCTTCGCGAAGGAGTGGCAGACCAGAGCCGAGAGCTGCGACCGCCGCGCCGCTACACGTGCCCAGGACGCCAAGGCTCGGTATGACGACCGTGCCCGCCCTCTTCAGCCACTGGAGATTGGTGCCCTTGTCCGCGTCCAGGACCCGACGACGACACGTTGGGACAAGGTGGGCATAGTGATGGGCGTCGGCCGGTCGTGGGACTACAAGGTCAGGATGCCGAGCGGCCGTGTCTGGTGGAGGAACCGCCGCTTCCTCCGGCCAGTCCCACCCCCTGCTGCTGGCCCCCTGACCGAGGACGAGTCCCTACACCTCACGAGGATCCGCCCCACAGTGCACCTCGACGCTCGGAGCGACTTAGGACTAAGAAGTCCGCTCAAGACAAAGACTATGAGCGTGAGGGGGGAGGGGGGGAGGGAGATGTAGGTTATGTATCTAAGCTACTGTGCCGAGTAGCATTTATATATGTAATTACGTGGCAACACTGCACGTGTTATGTGGCAACATTGCCCCGAGGCTGCCATATGGCAAGGCAGTCTCAGTCTGACTCTGTGGGCCGTGCATGGCACACACTAGTCACTACTTGTACTTCTCCTATCCGTTAATAAATGGACTTCAGTGTTACCCGGTGTTTCCCTACCCATCACTGCCTTCTTCAGGGAACACTTGGAACCTTCATGGCGCAGTGAGTAGGATTTGTGAACAATGGACAGTTAGCCGGCGATGTGCGACTGCCGGCGATGTGCGCGTCGACTCTTAGTGTGTTGTGTTGTGTTGTGTTGTGTTGCGTTGTGTTTCTCCACGACGTGCAGTGTTGCGCCGTCACAGTGCGTTTTAGTGACGGTGGCAGTGTTAGTGTCAGTGTATTAGTGTGTCTAGAGCTGAGAGTTGAGCATTGGCCTGTCTTTTGTGGTACCCACGAAGCACGCAGGTGTATACCCTTCTCGTGTGACATCCGGGGAGACACTGACGTTCTTGCCTCCACGGCAGCCACCACGATCTGCTCTCTCAAACACACACACACACACACACACACGCACGCACGCACGCACGCACTCACTCACGGACAGAACAGTGGACTCTATGCGTTATTTCTGCGCTGTTTATGTCATATATATGTGGTTCGAGCTGATGAGGCGCCACTTTATATACTAAACAGCGCAGTTCAAGCATACTAAGATGGGCGGTAAGAAGGGACAACGTCAAGATGGGAGACATGACTCCCCACCACCATCCCCTCCACCGGGCGCAGACTCTCATCCTCCACCTCCAGCGACGGACATTGCCACAATTCTGAGGTGGATGGACGACAGGGACGAGAGACGCAGAGAAATGGAACTTCAGAGGGAGGAGACACGAAGAGAGGCGGAAAAGTCGCGTTTTGATGCACTATTGGCGACCCTGGCGCTAACCCACCCTCCCTCACTCGCAGGTTTCGTGCACCAAGGCGCCAATATCCTCCCCCCTCCACCACACCAGCGTCCTCCAGGCACTCTTGCTACTCCAACAGCTCCCAAGGCATCTGTTCAACCCCCACCCGCCCTCTCACCAGACGTCACATTTCATCTTTTTCGTGAGTGGAGGCGGCGGTGGACAAATTACTCCACGATGGTGGACCTTGACAGCATGCCTACAAACAAACAGCTCATCCAACTGCAGATGTGTTTGTCGCTGGAGACCCAGAGAGTTTTGGAGCACACGTTGCAAGTGCCTACCGATTCTACGTCTTCAGTGACGGATGTGCTTGACCTTTTACCGGAGCACGTTAAGGGTCGGAATAACGAGGCTTTGCGTCGCCGGGCCTTCACCAGCTGCAAGCAGGCGGAGAATGAATCCTTCGACGACTTTTTTGTACGTTTGAAGAGTTTGTCGGAAGAGATCAACGTCTGCAAGGCGCACAGCCGGGAATGTGAGGAAGCCTGGATCAAGCATGGGATCTTGGCAGGTGTCAGGCAAGAAGAGTTGGTGCAGCGACTCATTCCCCTGGACGCTTCCTCCACACTCCAGGTGGTAGTGACTGAATGTCAGGGCTGCGGTCGCTATGGACACTACGACAAGTGCTGCCGCCAACCCAAGCCCAAAAGCCCGATACGAGGAGGAAAGCAGCGCACTTCCCTCGGGGTGGTTCGCACACAGCCCCCTTCAGATGGCCCCCACAGCCCCAAGCAGCAGCTGAGTCACATCAGGAGGGTGGAATCGACCACACGCCCCAGGGCTACCCCTTTCCCTACCATCCGCGTCGCCGTCACACACGGTGATGTCGGGTCACATCGAGGTGATACCGGACACCGGCGCTGATACTATGGTGATAGGCCTGAAGCACCTCCAGAAACTGGTCCTCACCAAACGCGGCCTGGGACCACCGCCGCAGCTGCAGTACTACAATGCGGACGGTTCCCAGATGCCGGACGCTGTGGGCTCCTTTCAAGCAGAGATCACCTACGGCGACAGGTCGTGTCACGGATGGATCGACGTGCAGCCTACTCTCGCTACACCCTTGTTGTCGTGGGAGCACTGCAAGGAGTTAGGCGTGGTGCCCAGAGACTTTCCCGAGCAGATCCCAGCTGCTCGTTACACCGCCAGCAGGGTGCGTGAGTCGACGAGCGACACGCCTGGCGCTGCCACACAGAGCTGCCCAGAACCCGCTTCCACTCCCACCCACACAGGACGCTCCCCTGCCCAGATCCTGTATGGTCACCCTCTCCGCTCTTGCGTTCCTGCACACGCCAAGGCCTTTGCAAAGGAGTGGCAGACCAGAGCCGAGAGCTGCGACCGCCACCCCGCTACACGTGCCCAGGACGCCAAGGCTTGGTATAACGACCGTGCCCGCCCTCTTCAGCCGCTGGAGATTGGTGCCCTTGTCCGCGTCCAGGACCCGACGACGACACGTTGGGACAAGGTGGGCATAGTGATGGGCGTCGGCCGGTCGCGGGACTACAAGGTCAGGATGCCGAGTGGCCGTGTCTGGTGGAGGAACCGCCGCTTCCTCCGGCCAGTCTCACCCCCTGCTGCTGGCCCCCTGACCGAGGACGAGTCCCCTACACCTCACGAGGATCCACCCCACAGTGCACCTCGACGCTCGGAGCGACTTAGGACTAAGAAGTCCGCTCAAGACAAAGACTATGAGCGTGAGGGGGGAGGGAGATGTAGGTTATGTATCTAAGCTACTGTGCCGAGTAGCAACCCTGTATATAAGCTACTGTGCCGAGTAGCAACCCTGTACATAAGCTACTGTGCCGAGTAGCATCTATGTATATAATTACGTGGCAACACTGCACGTGTTATGTGGCACCATTGCCCCGAGGCTGCCATATGGCAAGGCAGTCTCAGTCTGACTCTGTGGGCCGTGCATGGCACACGCTAGTCACCACTTGTATTTCTCCTACCCTTTAATAAATGGACTTCAGTGTTACCCGGTGTTTCCCTACCCATCACTGCCTTCTTTAGGGAACACTTGGAACCTTCACCATATACATTACTGCCCATTAAGGATAGTGTGGATACAGCACACAAGGAGGCAGCATTAGCCAGTACTGCTCTCGATCGCCTTCACTTCCCAAAGATGTAAACATAAGTACCCATTTACATCTTTTAGCGCCCGGGAAACGAACCACCAATCCCAGGAACAGGAGGTGAGCACTGTACCACTCACCTGCCTTACTCTATGCTGGTAGAATTCAAGGATAAATTATATCTTCAACACACATAACCAGACTACAAAACTTCATTACGAGTATTTCAGTTCTACAGCATTAAATGTCGATTAATTTGTTGATTAGGCTACAAAAAAGGTCAATACATGTTCTAGCCACATTATTTTTTAGTTTTTGTTGTGAATAACCACGCTACAGTACAGTATAAAGTGCACATGAATATAACGTCTTTGTTTGTGTCACCAACAGGTACTGTTTGAGCACATATACAGCATACTGTATATATATATCAAAGTTGCCTCCTTACAAACAATCCACCATTTTAGCATAATTTTACACTGATTATAATATTCCCTTCCCCCAAAAGAAGTATTGGAACAGTCCTAAAGTATCGGTCTCTTTTAACAAGTTCAGGCTTAATCCTTCCCCAATGATAGTTATGAAAAAATATTATGTTTTGGGAGCGAGTGACTCCCTCACTTTCAGTTTTTCCTCTAAAAAGTCTGGAATATAAATCTAAGTCAGCAACATGGTCTTAAACCATGATATGTTACCACTAATCTATGTTCTGCCAGGGAACCGTTGAAAAATATTGGTCAGTAACATTTTTCATTACATAAATAAATATCTTAAATTATATAATAACCTGGTGATGGTCGGTGTCGGGCAGCAGCAAAAGTCTGGGCACTGAGGCATCTGGCGGCGGAGGGAAGAACCTCAGCCCAAGGCGTTCCTGTAGTTGGCGTCCCCGAGGCAGCCAGGCAGGCACTACATATTCCACCTCACCAAACTGCGCCACTAACCTGTAAACCATAGTCCGGGATTAAGATAGGTGACAGCGTTTACGTATATGATAAACAGTTTTCATGAGGTGTTGGCAAACACCTTTACTGTATTACAAACAAAGCATTTATCCGGTGACCATTAACCCACTTTAATGCAGAATTCTTCAGATTGTTGGGCAAAACCTCAGTTCGCTTACACCCTGAGTGCACCATAGTGCTAGTGTATCCTCACAAGATAGTTTTACTAACCAGCTGGGAGGCCAGATAGTTGACTTTGTCCTGGCGGCCCATTTGGAGATCGCCCATAACTCCAAGAAAATTAAATAATAAGTTAAATTGAATATGACATAACATATCTAAGGAAAAATAACAGTAAACATAAACTTTTGGTAATTTCAGGGTTTTTGACTGGCTGATTGACGCTCATGAAAACGTAAAAGCTGCGTCCTCTTACTGAAGTGGTTAAACACATCTAAAGAGTTAAACATAGCTAGTGTTTATCCTTAGGAAAAGATAAATATTAATTATCATGACATCATTCTTTCAAAAAAAAAATCTTCCTAGTAACCATGTGAATCATTTGTTTGTAAGCTAGTCTCCCTACCCCACTGGCTATGGTCTGAACATAAGAACAGAAGAATGGAGAAAACTGCAACGGGCCTATTGGCCCATACTGGGCAGTCCCATTTACACCCAACACCTATTGCTCATATATCCATCCAACCTATGTTTGAAGCTATCCAGCGTATTCGAGTTAATGATGATATTTGGTAACTTGTTCCACTCATCCACTACTCTATTTTCAAACCAATGTTTACATATTTCACGCCAAGATCTAAATTTGTCTAATTTAAAACCATTTTACGAGCTCGCTCCTGGTTGGATAGTTTGAATACCTTTGTAATGTCCCCTTTGTTCAGCCCAGACTTCCATTTATACACCTCGATCATATCACCCCTCACTCTACGTCTCTCAAGGGAGTGCAAATTAAGAAGCTTTAACCTGTCTTTGTACTCAAGGTTCCTAATGCCCAGGATTAGTCTTGTCATTGCCCTCTGAATTCTTTCCAAGGATTCTATATCCATTCTGTAATACGGTGACCAGAATTGAACTGCGTAATCCAAGTGGGGTCTCACAAGCGCAAGATATAGTTTTAAGATGACCTCGCTAGTCTTGTAACTAACACTCCTTTGTATGAACCCAAGTACTCTATTAGCCTTGTTTCGAGCAAATACACATTGTTTACTTGGCTTAAGATTCCCACTTATCATTACTCCTAAATCTTTCTCGCAGTCGGATTTCTCAATATCATCATTATTCATCTGGTATCTGGTTTCTCTGTTTACATCTCCTATACTGAGTACTCTGCATTAGTCCACATTGAATCTCATCTGCCATTTTTCAGACCATTCGATTGATTGATTGATTGATACGTTTATTGAGATACAAAAAACATTAATACATCTCAAAGGGATGAAGTGACATAAGTCATCCCCACCCCAGTCCAGGAATGTCCCTCTCAGGACTCACATAAATCCCTAATATTTCATATAATCAGTTATATACATGCATAGTTATATTCTAGATGCAAAATTTCTGATTTCTTTAATATTTCATCTATTTTCCTATTTTTAAACATCCACTCTATTTGCTTAGGGACATTATTTATATGGGCACTTCTATATACATTAAGCAATGGGCATTCCAGTATATAATGTGGCAGGGTATGGGATCTGGGTGTTCTACAAACTCTACATTCTTTATCCTGTTCACTTCTCTCAGCTCCAAGTTCCCAATAATATTTATATCCTAATCTTAACCTCATATACACTGAATCTTTCCACCTACTCCTATTTTTCCCATATGTAAATTTGGTGTTCATGAGAACATGATGGTAATGTTTCATTGTTTCGCTTTTCTCGTATATTTCATTCCTTTTGAAATTATCTTCTATTGATTGTATTTTCCGTAATTTGCACCTTAATTGTTTCAAGGTTTTAGTACATATTATGTCGATCTCGGCCTTTTCCGTGGCTCTTTTTGCTATTATATCTACTGCTTCATTAAGACCAATGCCTACATGTGAAGGGGCCCATACAAATTGAACATTATGGCCATTTTTCCTTATTGTATTTACTAATTTTCTACATGAACCAATAATGTGTTCAAAGACTGGACTCCCACTGTTCAAAGAATCCAAAGCTGCCCTACTATCAACAAAAAAATATGCATCTTTATACATATTTACAACATTTTCCAATCCTACTAACATTGCATATAACTCAGCTTGTGTTGATGATATAAAACTACTCAACCGAAGTCCAATTTTGATGTAATCATTTCCTTGTTCTGTGTACTGTCTTATAAGGATCCCACACCCTGCCCTGCCATTTGACACAACTGAACCGTCACAATATACATGCAATGTGTTTATTTTAGGCAAATTACTAATCTTATTCCCATATAAAGCCCTTAACTGTCCTGGTTCATGTAATGATTTCTTCATTGTGATAGGCACTATGTCTAACTCTACTTCTCGTTCTTCCCAGGGTGGATTCTTACAACTCTTCTGAACTGCTGTACACCAGTCTGCCGATTACATTTTTTAATAATATTTACTAATCCATTCATGTATCCTCTCTTGCCTAGCCTGCAGAAGGTCATTTTATTTTTTAAACCATCATTTATATCTTGTACAAATTTACCCCCACTGTTCCCTCTCATTAATCGAACTGCTGCAACTGTATTCATTTCATTAACCCTCTGTGAAATGCTCTGTAACCCTACAGTAGTTCCATTTTCATTATCTCAATCATTGCATTCTTTTGACACCCTAAAATTATTCTCATTGCTTCAATTTGCATGATCTCAAGCTTCCGTAGCCTTCCATCACCAGTACAAGAGAAGACAGGTGCTGCATAGTCTGTAAGTGATCTGATGGTAGAAATATACATCATTCTCAGTATGGGTACCCCAGCACCTTTACCACAACATGCTAGAGCCTTCAAGGGCTGTAATCTTGCTCTACATTGAGTGAGGACATGATATATTTCTGCCTCTTTACTTTCACAAGTAAAGTCAATATACATTTCTAAATATTTATACTTTGACACTTTCTCAACAATTTTTCCATTTAGAAAAACGGATTCAGTTGCTCTTCCTTTACATTCACACTTGGTTTTTTCTTCATTGATAACTAAACCCATCTTTTGAGAAAGAACACTAAAATTATTTAATGCAATCTGCAAATTTTTTACAGAGTTTCCTTGAAATAAGATGTCATCTGCATAAATGATGGTTACAACTCCTTTGGGATATTTGTGTGAGGCTATCTTGTTCATTAACACAATAAATAACATTGGACTCAATACTCCCCCTTGGGGAGTGCCTAGTTCAAGTGCTCTTTCCTCAGACAAACATCCCTGATACCATACACAGATTCTCCTTCCATGCAAGTAGTCACCTATCCAGTGTAACAACTTTCCTGATACCCCTAGAGCAGCCAGTTCATTCATAACTACTTCACTGTGAGCTTTATCAAATGCTCCTTGTAAATTCACAAAAACTCTACATCTGTCTGCATCATTTGATAAACATTTTATAACACAGTCTGAAGTACATTTCCCTTCCAAAAAACCAAATAAATTACAAGATAGATTTTCCCCCCCACAATATATACAAGCCTATCTAATAATACTCTCTCCATCATCTTGGAAAAACAAGATGTTAAGACACTGACCTGCATCCACCAGTTGCCTTAGGGACAGGAATAACTATCGCTTTCTTCCATTCTGTTGGTAATCTACCCTCTGTACAGCTCATGTTGAATAAATCTAATAATGGATTATTTTCCATACCAACTAAGCAGTTCAAAATTTCATAAGTCACACCATCTTCGCCTGGTGCTGTAGATTTTCCTATTTTAACAGCATTTAATAACTCATCTTGAGTAATATCTACACATGTTACATCACAAATATTTAGAGCTGATGAAATAAATCTTCTTCTTTCATTTTGCCACTCATCTAATGCTTCTATTGTCCTGTTAGGCAACACTAGCTGCTTTAGCCCATTTGTCAACCAGTTTATTAGCTTCTTCCTCTGGATGAGGATGACTAATAAAATTACTCCTTTTTCCTCTAATTTTGTTAATATCCTGCCATATTTCTTTGAGATTTTTACTCTCCCCAATGTGTTGTACAAAGTCTTGCCAATATTTCTCCCTTGCCTCCTTCCTAGCCTGCCCACATATTTTGGCTATATCCATGAAGATTTCCCTATCTTCTTCTCTTCTACCATTCTTTACCCAATCTTTATGTGCTGCCCTTAACATTTGCGTCCATCCTTTCAACATTTTGTCATTGGTAAAGCAGTGTTTCCTAGCCCCATGTGTCTTATCATTTATCTTTTTCTGTGTTGACTTCGTTAAATATCTTTATATCTCCCCAACTAAGTCATTATAAAAGCTATCCATACAGACTTGTGTATAATTTCTGTACCATTTCTCTATATTTTGGGTAAACACTTCTGTGTCATCCTTGTTTAGTTTCAATCTCTTCCTCCTATATCTCACCTGTCTCTTCCCTAATGGTAATTGAACATACACAACTAAATGGTCACTGACTAGCTCCCTTATTATCTCACATTCTCCCTGGACTCCCTGACTGCTTATCATGCAAGCATAGTCTAACCTTCCTCCTTTAATATGAGTCACTTCCTCATTTCCTAACAAGCAAGCATCTGGGTGATCTTGTAAAAATTGCCAAAATTTTATACCATTACTATTAATTCTCCCCATTGTTTCGAGTCTTGGATGTCGAGCATTAAAATCTCCAACAGCCAAAGTTGAGTCCAAAAACATGCAATCTGGTAAGAAGTTGAGGTCAAAACAGCCTCCAGTAATATACAAATTTGCTATGTTCAATTCTCCTTCCTTCAAATATAACTTTATACAGACACTTTCTATTCCTTGTACTCTACTCGGGCTTCCAACTAGTTCTGCTGGTATGGAATTCTTA